AATCTTTTAAGGTTACAGCCTTTCTCCGCTGTTATTCGTTTTATGCATTGGATACCCAAAGTTGGAGGTTCTCACCGATCAAAGAACGCACATACCGAACCATTTACTATTTGTGGATATTCTCAAGCTCCTTGCTGCCGACGGAGATATCATGAAAGCTGTGGCCGAAGAAGTCCAGAAGTTCTTTGAAATAGTAGGGTTAGAGGTGAGTCCAACGAAGTCAGCCCCTAATACTGAGGTATGCGCTAGTAAGCCGGTGCTCTTGAAAGGAACTCAAGAAGATATAAATACTTCGGCATAATGGAAGACAGAACTAGCGCTCCGACTCGAGAAAGCTACGATAAAGTGCAAGCAGAGATTTTTGAGGGAATTGAACCCCCAGCCAAAACTGCACTAAACAGCAAGAACTTTATCAAGGCAGTAAATGAGCATGCCATAGAATTATTAAAATATACTGGATGCTCAAACTATAACCAGAGAACTTCCGAGCAACTGACCATGACATCAGACAGTTACTAACTAAATTCAGAATTCATATTCAACCTGCATGTTTGGAAAGGCTATACTTGCCAAAGGATGAGCTAGAACGTGGGCTTCATTGCGTCGAACAAAGAAATGAGCCAATGCTTCTGCAACTTCATAATGCACTTGTAGAAAGTGCGCTTATATCTACCAGGAGGACGACAATTCTGAAGCAGGAAAAGACTCACAACACGGACTTAGCAGTCATTGTGCCCTACCTTCAGACTAAATAAACCAGTAGAAAATTCAGTCGTCAAAAGCGTATCAGCAGCTCATAAAGCTCACCCGCATAGCGAAACAGAAAATAAAACTCGACATGCAAAGCTGTCACAAAGTGCGCAGAAATGAGCTACCCTCTATGTCAAAATCATCAATGTGGCTACGATTTGGAAATATGACCCCACAGGATGAAGCGCGATACTGTCATAGAAGACACAATGAAGTCCTGCGATGTATACATTTAGGACTTTTCAAAACAATGATCTAAAAGCATTTCCACGCTTGCGGAGCCACTCCGTTCAGGGAATCGCCGCTAATGAGTACGTTGAAATTAGAGTCGATACTCAAGTAAGAATTGTAATAGAATAAAAGTGGATTAACCGGACATCCTGGTACACGATAAGCGACGTAAAGTAATCCTGATAGAGGTAGGCATCATTAGTTAGGATAGGTTGACAGCACTCAAGACTAAGAAGCGAAAATATGACCTATTTGCTAATAAGCTTGGGTCAGAGATGTATTGCAGGACGAAAATAATACCGTATGTCCAGAATACGACTCCCCTCCAGAATCAATAATGAAGAAAACAAGAATAACTTCCGTGTGATATTGATCTGATTATATATATATATATATATATAGTTACTTATAACAAAAAGATTATTATTGTATATAAAAATCTAAAAACATAAAGAACTTGTGAAGCTACAATGCACATTTTTAATTTTTAATAAGTTCGATATATAGTTATGGCTATTTATTATTAAAAAGCTCTAATCAAAGTATTCAACCGCAGCAACTTGAAGACAACTAAATTACTCATGTAAAACGGCTAACAAAAAAAATTATTAACCAATTTCAGGATAATAGTCGTGACCTGCTGCACTCAGTGCTGAAAAATCAGCTCCACTTTCGCTGGATGTAGATGCCTCTAAAGTAGACCAGGGCCAAGCACCTTTGCGATATGCAAGTGGCTCTCGATATAACAAATTTCTTCCTTTGAAGCAAATACATTTTGTGCAAAAGTACAGCAAACAACTGCAAATATATTAATTTATTTTCATTTGTTATCTTATTTTTGTTGCATTTCTTTGGACAAATTATAGAAAAATCATTTATATATACAGACTATACCAAAGTGTAAGTAGAAGGAAGAGAACCGCCAGAATTACAAGCAAAATCACTGAAACTTTTGATGGTGCAACATCACAAAATTCTCCTGACCAACCATCGCTACAAACGCAAGTGATGTTGTTTGTCATGGAGTTGTGCACACAATCTCCATGTGAATTACACAAGTCACAAAGTAATGCTCCACATATTCGTCCTGGTTCCTCTGGATTTCCATCTATATAGCCTTCTGGACAATGACATTCGTAGCCTATTGTTTTATCAATACATTCTGCTACACCTGCAAATATCTAACCAAAATTTAACAGAGGTGTTTGTAATCTCATGATGCAGGCGTTAAAAAAAAATATTAGCCGCCCTCAATAGCGTCATAACTGCTTGGTAATATTATTTTGTAACAAACACGATTTGCATCAAGTGCACATTAACACATTAACACGCCTATTCAGCGAGTAATTGTATAGATGATCAACTTTATTTTTAACTGAGATACTAATTATTTTCTGTTCCTGCTTTTATTCTTAGTGATGAAGGTGATTCTTAACCGTTTCGGAATGATGCTCAGAGGGGATAGCTCGTGGGTCATTTCCTGTATTGCGAGAAGTTCTTGTGCACGATTAGCCTTTAAAACTGAAGAATCAAGCGAATGCCGCAGTCATCAGTACTGCAGGCAGTCCGTGCTCGCAAAAGTAGTTGTTAGAAAAAACAACGAACCGTATCAAATACTTGACACTTACTTCGAGCAGAACTACATGAGTTCAAGATTTATCTAGACGTAAAGCAGAAGTACCATATACTGGTGCGAAAAGCCCAAGGACGTGAAATAGACCAGACAATGTGGACGCGGAAAATAATCTCGGAGAAAGTTTACCCCCTTGTACTTGAAGCGATAAACCAAGGAGCGGGTGACTGTGCCACACAGAATCGATTCAAGCCAATGAATGACTGATTTTGCAAGGCAGTTTGATGTGGCACAAAAATGCTATCAAAATATGACGAGGCGGAAAAAGAAACTATCAAGGTAGAAGGTAAGCACAGAAAAAAAGATAAGTGTGAACAACTTCAACAAAACCCTCATACGGGTATTTGGCCGGTGAAACACTGCAAGATAAAAACCTGAGGGACGTCAAGAAGTGTATGAGGAGCAGGAATCTCATATTTACTCTCTCTTTACAGTCACTGTCATGAGGCCCTAAACATGCCGACAGAACATATAAGAGTTTATGAAAGTAAAGTAAAAAAAACGCAATGAGGTCGATGCATCCACTTGGGACTCTGCAAGAAGTATGGTCTGAAAGCATTCCTACGCATGCAGAGCCATTCTGCTTATGAAATCGTCGCTAATGCGAACGTCGATATGTGAGTAAGAACTAAAATTAGAATGTGAGCCGACTGATCGGACATCCTTCTAGCACAAGATAAAAAGAGACACGAAGTACTCCTGATAGAAAATGGCATCACTGATCAAGATAGGTTGATAGCAGTCGAGACCGAGAAAAAGAGAAAATATGATTTACTGGCTACTAAACTCGGAGTAGGGATGAAATGCAGGACAAAAATAATTCTGTATGTCATGAGTTGGGATGGGATTGTAACAAACTTCCAGAAGGAAATCAGTGCATCTGATCATATCATTTTGACGCATATATCCAATTAATAATGCTCTAGAAGTCGAAAGCATCTCATTCTATAAGAGCTGTGGATTCGACGAAGACGAAGCAGCGGAGATCAACACAACAGAACTGAGAGCGGAGAGAGAATGACAGAATTACGATCCAGCGCCAAGATCAAGAATTAAGAAAAGAAGAATAACCCTCGTGTGATATTGAGTGACTGATTTATATACGAGACTATTTTTATTTTAATTGGCAGTTATTTATTTTTAAATATTTCTCACATATATTTTTATTTAAACTGACCCATCGTAATAAATTTAATCATAAATAGCAAACTAAACCTGAACAATTGGTGAGTCCTAATGCGCATTCATCAACATCACGCATTTTTAAACAAAGCGTATCATGATTGAAAAGTTGCGCCTTTTTCTCGCTTTTCCGAATATCTACGTAATCAGCATCACATTGACATATCGCTTCGTGTTCTTGATTGATGCATGTGGTGTTTTTGGGGCAAAAGTTTACATCGGAGCAATAATCCAAAACACAGATGCTTCCTGGGATTGCATCTTCTGGTGATGCATCTGTGTATGATGGCAGACACTCACATTTATAAAGATGTTCCTTAAAATTGCATTTTAATTTGTACAAGACTCATATTATTTTTATTTATGGTCCAATCACTTATTTTAGGTCATCTCCAAGTTTTAACTTTGCAATTTGATATTGTTTTTTAGAGTTTGATTTTTGACAAAATTCACAGTTAATTGATTAGACTCATATAAATTAATCATGTATTTGAAATTTCAAGAGAATAAACAAGATCTGGAATACTATTTTAAAAATTTGCAGCTCTGATTATTTTTTATGCATAGAGTGAGAGCTTTTCTTTCACATGTCAACATAATGATTATATAGTACCTGATCAACACAGCGAGCATTTTCTGAGCACTCGTTGTCTTCCCTTCGTTCGCATTCATTATAGCCAGTATCAGGTAAACACTGCCTCCCTGGATCAGATAAATCTAAATCACGATATCCTGAACCGCATTCACATCGATAAGCATTTGGCCCCAAGTCATAACAAATCCCTTTTGGATGGCAGTTGTTCTGAAATTAAATTTAAATTTCTCTGTAAAAATTTTCCCCTATAAATGAATCAGCCAACTGCTTAAAGTGTTAGTGAAAAAATTCAGATCTTCTTTCAGGCCATCTTCAAGTTTCATTTTTGCGATTTGATCCCGCTTTTTCTAGAATTCTATTTCTGATAAAATTCTTAGTTAACTGATTAGACTCAGATATATTAATCATTTATTTGAAACAAGATTTGGAATACTATTTAAAAAATTTGCAGCTCTGATTAATTTTCATGCACTGAGTGAGAGCCTTTCTTTCACATGTCAACAAAATAATGATATTTAGCACTAGATCAACACAGTAGGCATTTTCTCAACACTCGTTTCATTTATGTCACTTTCATTTATCTATCGATTTAAAACTTTGACAATGTTGAAAAGTTTACCTTCCAGCATGCTTTGAATGGATTCGGTTGATAATCATTCAAATAAAGACCACTTTCTCCAACCTGATAGTTATTCTGATCAATAATGTATCGGACTAACATGTTATAAACGTCTGATGGTAGCTTTACTGCTCCTTTTCGGAAATAAACGGTTGCGTTGAATAGAATGCCTCGAGTCCAGCTAGCATTAATAGCTACTGGATCCATAATTTCGTTGACCTAAACAAGTTATTCGTTAGATATACAATTTATGTGCAGAAGTAAATATTAGAAAGGAATTTTAAAGACGTATAAGTTAAAACAAAAAAAATTCATACAACAAAAATGATAAATTCTGATTTTTATTTCTTTATTAACTGCAAAATCATTATATTTGGATCATTACTATTGTATTTGTGTCATTTACCTCAGTCGTAATATATGAAGCAGATAAAGAAGTCTTTGGATAGCACTGCCCTATGCCACTTTCAAATCGTCTGACAAGTTCTTTTGTGATGGCATGACGAGGATTAGCTAAAATATCGCTATATGCCAAATTTTCATCATCTTTTCGAACGATCCATAAAGCAATGTTCCAGGCTTCCACTGGTCGGCAGGCATCAGTTGAAGATAATCGTTTTTCACCACGTTTGCAACCACAGATCGATCCGGCAACACATATCTGAAGAACTTTATCTTTAAGTGATAAAGCATTAGTCATTTCATCCGCTAATGATGACAGAGATGTTAAAACATTTTGATCTTAATAGTGCTTAAAATGACTATTTCGAATTCACTAATCTCACAATTACATTTTGTACATAATAGTCTGAATAATTGATAGAGCAGCTGATAAAATAAACCTCTCTTAAAGCGCTATTACAAAAATTGGTTCCACACATTTCCCCTTCTGGTAGTTTTGGTTTGCAAGGGTTTAATTGATCGTAATCAGATGCTACTCGAAGAGGCCCACCACCTATTGCTCCGTTTGTTCGTTGGATCGATTTTGCTAACTGATCCCACAAATCGCAAACATCGATGGCTGCATTACTAGGCAACATTGCCAGGGAAAAGTTGAAAAGCAAACCATTCGGCCAAGAGCTGAAACAATCATTGGATTTATCATTTCGCTGAAAATATAACTTATGTCATTCATGTGCACAAAGCAGGTTTCAAACTCTTATCAAAGAAAAAGGCGGGAGTTTAGAGAACTTTTTCATGAGCTGACAAGAAAAGAAAAACTATTAGCAGCAAGTAAGTAAGTACTTGGATATTTAAATGCGTCAATGATTTCTTAAGAAAAAAACCATTTCAAAACTGAAATGAGTAATCAAAATTAAATCACCTATTAACAGTTTTTGGATGAGTAATGTAATTGACATCAGTTGTCACATAACGTGGCCCATAGGTTGTACCACCCAAGGAACGCCCGATATCTTTGCTAAACAAATGTGTGATCTCTACGTATGGAGCACTGTAACTACTACCATATTCAGAACTGTACAACAGAGTTTCGGCATCTTTGTTTAAAACCAGAATTGAAAGCGGTATACGATCCACAGATTCACATCGATCTTGCGATGTTGCACGACCCTCTCCAGGACGACAGGTACATTCCATGCCACCAACGCAAACTTCATTACGTGCCGTTGCACAGTAGTTATTTCGTCCACAAGGAATTCCATCAATGCGAGGCATGTCTTTGGGTAAAATCGTTGTCAATTTCACTTTTTGGAATTCTGAAGCATTAATTATTGAATCTATTTAAACACGATACACATGAAAAGCATTTTATAGTAGTTGCTTAAATTTAAGGGTTGAAAAAAATTTTTTTTCCCGAATGAAGACAGAGAGTTTTTTGCGAATAATCCGTTTTTACTGGCTATTTTATAATTTATGACTAAATAAGCAAATAATAGCAGAATATTTAAATGCATGAATGATTTTTGAGAAAAAAACCATTTCAAAACTGAAATCAATAGTCACAATTAAATTACTGACCGATACAAACTCTTCCAGGTTCTTGCATATTTGGTGAGTTATCGTAGAAACCTGCTTTGCAGTGGCACGTGTAGCCATCATCAAGATCTTCACAAACTGCATATTTCTTATCACATGTGTTATCTGATGGATTTAAGCACTCGTTGAAACGACATATACGTCCAGGATGTCCATGTGGAGACTCATCTCGGTAAGGAACAGGACAGCGACATTCATAACCACCTTGTAGATCTATACACTCTGCATGATGATCACAATCATTCAGGTTCGCTGATTCACATTCATTGATTACTAAAATTTAGGATTAGTAGTACCTTTACTTGTATTATGATAATTACTTGAAAATAATGTTTTAATGGGATTATCATCTTTCGTTTAGCTCCTTTAATGACAAAAATAAAGTAGACAATAATTTTCTATTAATAACGGGTTTTCATTTTATAACTGTTGTTTACAAAGCTTTGAGCCATCTGCAAGAGTAAAACAATCATTAATAAATGTCAAGTTCGTAACTAAGAAAAACAAGACACAATTCCCTCAAAAAACTTGCCATAATTGTTTTGAAAATTTTCTTTTTACAATGAAAACAGTACGCTCTTTTTAAAGATTTCAATTGAAAGTTTGCAAATTTATCTTTATGCCACGCATTAAAATATTATTTCCTAGAACATTAGATTGAATTTAAAGAATGTGGAACGATACATTCAAATTTTGACAGTAATTCAGCATAAAGTGAATAAATCTGAATTATTTTTGGCAAGATTTTTGTTGAATAGAATAAAACCTCCAGAAATTTTTGAAAAATGTCTAACGAAAGTGCTTTCAGATAATTAACAAATTTTATCGAATAGAAAAAATTTCACCTTTGTTAATACTGAATTAAAATTTAGCGCAATCACTAGTAGTACAAATTCTGATTATAATCATTGTTTTTACACCAGTAAATTTTAGTAATTTATGAATAAGATTCAATTTTATAAACAATATTAACTTAGAATATGCTTGTAAGTCTTCGATCATAAGGTTTTGCATGAACTTTTGCTTATCCGTTAGGTCCGTTCCAGAAATTCAGTATGAAATTTTTAGAAATCTCAAAACGATCAGGTAGAATACAATTTTTGTCAAGGATTGTACATTTGAATTGAATTTTTACATCCATTCGAAACTTACTGTAATTACAGATGGTACCAGGATGTTCTGGGCTACCATCATGATATCCTTCACGACATCGACATTCGTAACCATCTATATGATCAATACAATCTGCGAATCGTGAACAATTATTCAGCGATGGATTGCGACATTCGTTAACTTGCTGGAAGCATTTTCTCCCCGGTCTGCTCAAATTTGGTGAACGATCTTCAGTGTTAACTGGACAGCGACAAGTGTAACCATCTGGTAGATCTTGACAAACCGCTAACAAATCACAATCATTCAGTGAACGATCTAAGCATTCGTTGATCTATAAATTTAGATTACTCTTAAGTAAAAGTACGACTTGATTTTCAGCTACCTATATCAGAGAAATGTAGAATTAGTAAACCCAGTTTTGGATTAATTGTCTTGTTTTGACCACTGAATTGTAGTTAAGTCTTGCAAATAATTTTTTTTGAACCAAAAAACTTTATAAACTATTAATGAATTTCAAATATAATGCAAATTACTGCAATAAAAAAGCTCAAAATTATTTTAAAAAGTAAAGTTTAAAGATTTATCCCTAATAACCTGTTCAACACAAATTCGTCCAGGACGATTAATCTTATCTGGAGACTGGTCAATGTAGCCATCACGGCACCTGCATGTATACTTGTCTTCGTTTTGCGTTTCACTGCAAATTGCAGCTGGATGACAGTCATTCTGACTGGCATCTAAACAAATTGGCTCTGTGAGAATACAAACACGGCCAGGTTTTTTTCTTGCGTCCGGTGAACGATCTACGTAACCTTGCAAACATTCACAAGTATACGTTTGAGATCCTGTTGCACGACACATTCCAGCTGGATGGCAATCATTCAGAAGTGGATCTTGGCATGGATGGCCTAAAATTTCGAAATTATTTGTTAAACGATCATTGGAAGAAGTAGAGCAAATATTAGAAAAAGTATGAAATAGAAAGGCTGAATTGATTACAGTTCTTTATAGTATGTAATCGATTAAGAAAAGGGAACACAGAATCCAAGTGCTGGCCGCTTGTAATTTGAAATTAATTTCAATCACAGTTTCAAACGCACGTGGTGGTGGAGTAGCAGGAATAGGAGGTTCACAAACATGCCCACGTTGTGTTCCGTCAGGTGATCGATCAACATAACCACGAGCACATTCACAACGATATCCTTTAAGTTCATCGTAACAAATAGCATTACGAGAGCAGTTATTCAACCGTGGATCACGACAAGCACTATCTATAATATGTAAAAATATTATAAATGATTAAAATTCGAATTCAGTCGATTTGTAAGCAAAATGGCAGTAAATATAAATTTCAAATTAAGACCAAATCTTCACCATTGTTGGTCTTTGACCAACATATCATTTATAAAAATTTACAGTTAATAAAGCTTATCTGAACAAATCGAGAGCAAAATTGTTCAAAAAGAAATGAAAAGATTGTACTTCTGACGCAAATACGCCCCTTTTTTCCGGCTGGTGATTGATCCAAGTAACCTTGGATACAAGTACATTCATATTCATTACCACCCAGAGGTTCGCATACTGCGGCTGAACTGCATTCATGATTTGATGGACAAACTTCTGCAAAATTTTGAAGTACTAGAGTGGCATCCAAGAATAAGATAATATTTCGAATTTTTTTAACATTTATGACCAATTTTTGTAGGCACTGAATTTTTTAAAGTAGTTTGAGAAAATTATACCGTACCAGGAGTGCCGCACACTCGTCCTGGCTGTATTAGTAAATTCGGTGATCGATCCACAAAGCCATCTTTGCATTCACATGTATAGCCTTCTTCTAAATCTCGACATTCAGCTTGCGCACTACATGTATGTCTGTTGCTTGCACATTCATCCACCAGCTAGACAAAAATCAACTAAAGTCTAACTTTCAGTTAAAAAACGGATAAAATAAAATTAGAATTTTTCTTTACTATTTTACAAGTTTATATTTCCATTATAATTTATTAAATTATTACAACTAAATGCGGACGATCACACTACAATTTGCAAAATTTCGGTATATTTATTTCTGAAATGTTACTATTGGCCGCTGCCACGATGAATAAGAGTTTTTGTTTTAGATTTTGATATATTTATTATAAATTGCTGTAATGAAATTTAAATACACAAGCCATACCTCTACACAAACGCGACCTGGGCGATTTAACCGATTTGGTGAACGGTCAGTAAAGCCTTGAGCACATTCACAAGTAAATGACTGTTCGTTATCACGGCAAACTGCATTTGGATCACAGTCATGCTTTCCAGTCATACATTCGTTTTCAACTAGAATTCAACTTTGAAAACTTTGTTTGGTAAATACTAGCAATTGAAAGTAATAGCTGAAAGTTCTGCTCAAAATGATAATCACTCAAGGGGAGAAAGTAGTAAAAAACCAGTTATGAAAGTAAAAAGAACCTTCATGACCATACTATATACTAATAATTACTTTTAACATTCAGTTTAACAATGCTTTTTAAAAAACTTTTTCACTAAGATTTTGATAAACTTAATTTGATAACTTACAAACAAGACATACACGACCAGGAAATGCTGGATTTGGTGAGATATCTTTCGAGTTTTGTGGACATTCACAAAGATAGGAATCAGTGGTATCTGTACATACTGATATCTTGTCACAATCGTTCAGTTTCGGATCCGAGCATCTGTTAGCAAGCAATTATTAATCATAATCAGGACCAAGTGAACATAACGATTATTAATAAACTTATTAATATAAAAGCCTGAAAAACAAGCTTTTGAATGTCAGATGGGATATTTTTAATATCCTTCAAGTAAATGGCAAAAAGTCAAAAAAAAGATGCAAATTTCAGTCTTTCAAATTTTCAAAAGAACTAACTCATTAATTAGTCGACGACATGCTCTTCCTCTGAATGTTGGTGACGGTGATACGTCCAAAAACCCGTCCTTACATTCACAACGATATCCATCCTCTTCATCGATGCAGTTCGCATTTTTGTCACAACTATGAAGAGAATTTATATATCATGCAATAATTAGCAAAAACAGATTTTCAATTCTGAATTATTAGCTTCGGTTTTTTTCTGTCTCATTCTATCAGCTCTAAAAACTGATATTTCTTCCCCATTTTTACAGCTTCCATTCAATAAATCTGCTTTTGAAAGCAAGCATTGGAGTGAGTACTTCAAGCCTTCATTACTTTCGCTCTAATTCTCGTTGTAAAATAATACTTAAGCGTA